CCGGCCCTCTGAATCTGATATTTCTATACTGCAGATGAATAGGGAATTTCTATTCTATTAAAAAGATCTGGGTTGGGGAAATAGCTCAGTGGAATAAGTACTTGCCTGGCAAGCACAAGGTCCTGAGCTCGATCTTTAGTACCACCAAAAAAAAAAAAAAAAAAAAAAAAAAAAAAAAAAAAAAAACCATCTATCCTCTTCGGCTTTATAAGAAAATGAGTGAGCCTCACAGGCTGACCTGCGGGCAAGGTGAGCTGTAGCTCAGAGTAGACTGCTTTAGCAGCTGTGCTGTGTCTAAGGAACGCCTGGGGTTCAACACCTGGAACCGGAATAAAGAGAAAGACTTACTCTCTCAGGTCTGCTCTCCCGGCCGGGTGGCTTCAAAATGTCATCCACATTCTTTGACTCCGGCTTCTTCTCTGCCCGGGGAGCTGGAGGTGGCTGGTGGCTCAGGGAAGGAGCTGGTAGGGGAATCCGCTCCTCTGGGTAAGTTCTTCGATCACCTGGATTTCCAACAGTTGAATAAAGTTACTATTCATACAGTAACTTATTTCCAAGTTAACGGGGGCCTGGCCCTAGCTCAGGCCTTTAAGTGGCTGCTTCCACAAAGCTGTCAGCCTCAGGTTGCTGGAGTTCGAACCTCACACCCCTCCCGCTGGCCAAAAGGGCCCTGAAGGCATTCGAGGAACAAAAAAAAAAAAAAAGCCTTATTTTCAAGTTTAACTCTCCACTCTTAGCCTAATCATAATTCACACTAAGAAAAAAATGATCTGGGGGCTGCTTTTAGAGAAAGTAATAAGTAAGAGAAAATTTAATGTAAATCTGAAATCAAGAAAATAAAAGATTTAGTGATATTACAGGGAAACATGTCCACAAAATATTGAAATCATTAACAAGATACAGAAGAACAGCATTTTTGTTAAACAATTCCAAGCTTGATTTTAATTTTGTAACTTCTATTTAACGGTTTTTAAAACAAGAGTCATCAGCTTACAAAAACTAAATCTTACAGCTATGAGTTTCTAGTTTATGTGTAACTTACAGCAGTACAAATAAACCTACATGTCTAAAATAAGGATCTTGTATTTTATCTACTCAATGAAATGTCACAGAGCCTCTAGTAGCAACTGCATTTAGAGCTGGAAGGCAGCTCAGTGGTACAGTGCAAAGTACTTGCCTAGTATGTGTGAGGCTCTGGGCTTGATCCTCAACACTGTGAGAAAAAGCAAACTGCCCTGCATTTATACAGTTCATAAATATGCGTGCAAAGAGAGAATGAAAGAAAAATACACAAAATTACAATAGTGGTAATACAGTGGGCAGTGGAATTATAAATGACTATTTTTTTTTTTTTTTTCAGAACTGGGGATTGAACTCCGGCCCTCACGCTTGCCAGGGAAGTGCTTATTCTGCTGAGTCATCTCCCTGGCCCCATAAATGACTATTTTTAAGAATTTCTTTAATGATAAGTTTTCTTTTTGAGACAGTCTTGCTATGCAGTTCAGGATACCTTGAGATCACTTTGTAGCCCTGATCGCCCTGCCTCATCCCCGAGTGCTGGGATTATAGGTATGCAACACAACTGGCCTTAGGGCCAGCCAGGTAGCTCTGTGGACTAAAGTGCCTGCTTAGACAGAGTGCAGTGGCTGGGGGTTCGATCCCCGGCATGCTGTGCCAGCCCCGTCCTGGGGTGCACTGAGACAGCAAGTGAGACTGGGTGTGGTGGTGCATGCCTGTAATCCCACAGCTTGGGAGGCTAAAAACAGGAGAATAACTATGAGTCCAATCTACATAGTGAGACCCTGCACTAAATACATAAAAAACAAAACACACACTTGGCCTTCTACTGCTATTCTTTTTTTTTTTTGCGGAACCAGGGATTGAACTCATGCTATTCTTGATAGAATGCTGTCAATTTAAGAAATTCTCAAGTACGTTTTACTTAGAAAGTTTAAATCCAGCCCTTTCATCTCGGCCACCGACATGCCCTCCAGACTAAGGAAGACCTGGAAGCTTCGGGGCCATGTGAGCCACGGCCATGGCCGCATCGGCAAGCACCGGAAGCACCCCGGAGGCCGGGGTAATGCTGGTGGCGTGCATCATCACAGGATCAACTTCGACAAATGTCACCCAGGTGACTTTGGGAAGGCTGGTATGAGGCATTACCACTTAAAGAGAAACCAGAGCTTCTGTCCAACTGCCAACCTTGATAAATTGTGGACACTGGTCAGTGAGCAGACACGAGTAAATGCTGCCAAAAACAAGACTGGAGTAGCTCCCGTCATTGATGTAGTGCGATGGGGCTACTACAGAGTTCTTGGGAAGGGAAGCTCCCAAAGCAGCCTGTCATCGTGAAAGCCAAGTTCTTCAGCAGAAGAGCTGAGGAGAAGATTAAGGGTGTTGGGGGCCCTGTGTCCTGGTAGCGTGAAGCTTCTGGACAGGGGGCTCATCAAAATGCTAACACGGTTTTCAAAAAAAAAAAAAAAAGAAAGAAAGTTTAAATCCATAATAACATGTAAACCCTTCCCAACTGTGTACATTCTCAACATCCCTGCAGTTAATAAGATACAGCTCTACCTCCAAACATGGATGGGCCTTCATATGCTGGTCGGTCAGACTTCCTGTCATAGGACGGCCTATCAAATCCCCCTCTTCTGGATGAGGAATGGTCTTTTTTGTCTCGATACGATGGAGTCCTAGAAAGTGTAACAAGTTCTTTAAGTAAAAAATATCTGACGGTCTGTGCTTTATAATGCTGCACCATTATCTGTTCACTTCTCTCTATGTAGTTACTCCACATAACTTATGTTTATACTCTGCCTTTTCACTAAGATCTGCCTTACATAAACACATCTAAAAATCTCTTAAGTTGCAAAAATAGTTTACAACACATCTAAAAATCTCTTAAGTTGCAAAAATAGTTTACCTATAATTAATGATTATACTTTATTGACAATACCACACCTCTACTATTAACTTATCTGGAATTCAAGCTAGCAAAGCTGAAGCACCTACTTTCTTTTTTATTTTTTGTTTTTAGTGCTGAGTACCGAACCCAGGACTTTCCGCTTGCTAGACAAGCATTCTACCACTGAGCCAAATCCCCAGCCCTAAGCACCTACTTTCTCAAAAACTGATCCAGAATTGGTCTCTCTTCTCTAATGTACACACACTCTCTCTCTCTCTCTCTCTCTCTCTCACACACACACACACACACACACACACACACACTCACATAGAATGTCATTTACTGGGGGCCGGGGAGATAGCTCAGTAGGGTGGCTCAGTAGAATAAGTGCTTGCTTGGCAAGCACAAGGACCTGAATTCAAACCCCGGTTCCACCAAAAAAAAATAACAATAACTTCAAACACTTTTTTATTTTTATTTTAATTTTTTTGCAGAACTGGGGATTGAACTCATTAAAGAACTGAGCTAAGGGGCAGGTCCCCCAAACACTTGAACTTCACACCTAGCAAAGGTATTTTCCACACCATACCTATCATCCCGGGGCCGGCGATCTCTGTCAAATCGGTCCCGGTCATAGTCAATCACACGATCCCGGTCTCGATCTCTATGGGCCTCCCGATCCCTTTTAAAATCTCGATCAAAGTAAGGCTCACGGTCTCTGTCTCTATCATAGCGATCACGCTGACCTGCATGATCTACAAAAACAATACAAATAAGAACTACATATTTTCTTGGATATAAAGCAGAGAAGTACAAATCTGATTTAGGAACTATGATAAAATGTTGCCCCAAATTCAACTCAAGAATCTTCCATCTTTTTTTTTAAATGTATTTGTTACAGGGTCTTACTATGCAGCTTGGACTCATAGTGACCCACCTGTGCTGAGGATTACAGACATGCACCACCACACACCCAGTGGTGCTAGGTGGCGAACCCTGGTCCCTGCACTTGCCTAAACAGGCGCTTAGTCCTCTGAGTTATCTCACTGGCCCTCTTCTGTTTATCTTTTTTTTTTTTCTGAAGAACTGGGGATTGAACCCAGGCCCTTGCGCTTGCCAGGGAAGGGCTTATTCTACTGAGCCATTTCTGTGGCCCCTCTTCTATTCAACTTAAGAGAAGGCCCAGATAATCTATTTTTTTTTTTTTGGCGGGGGTGGGGCAGAACCGGGGATTGAACTCAGACCCTTGCACTTGCCAGAGAAGCACTTATTCTACTGAGCCATCTCCCTGGTCCAAAATCAGAGGCCAGGCATGGTGGCACATGCTTGGTTTTCTTTGGGTTTTTTTTTTGTTGTGGAACCAGGGATTGAACTCAGGCCCTTGCACTTGCCAGGGAAGGGCTTATTCCACTGAGCCATCTCCCTCCAGATAATCTTAAAAACAAAAAAGTCATAGCTAGCACCTAAATCAGGTTTATTTTTTAAATTTTATTTCAAAGAGGAAAAAAACCCCAAAACAAAATATAAACAGGGCCAGGAATATAGCTCAGTGGCATAAGTACCTGCCTGGCAAGAACAAGGTCCTGAGTTCAATCCCCAGTACTGCAAAAAAACAAAAACAAACAAACAAACAAAAAAAACCCTCCAGCATAATAAAAATGGTATAGAATTTCAAGAGAATAGGAAATTAACAATGGTTGTTATAGTATACATATTATCATCAAATTTGTTATTCAGACCACTAGATATAGGCATGCAAGACTGATTAAACAGTTAAAACATTAACTCTTCTTTTCTATAAACCTTGAATTTTTCCCCTTGTCCTTTTTATTTTTTTAATTTATCTTAAAGAGAGTATAAAAATAATAGATAAGCGAGATAGCTTAGTGGTCTAAAGTGCCTGCTTAGGGAGGCGTAGGCACGCATAGGGGACTGCGGTTCAATCCCTGGCACCACATACCTTGCCACCCTGCCCTCAGGGCCAGCTGAACCAGCAAAAAAGTAAAAACTCCAAGTTGAGTTTATGACCTTGTCAGACAAAGGAATACACAGTAGCCAAGAAATTCAATATGTAGTTTACTGAGAGTAGGTAAATCAAAGATTTCAAGTACTAAGTAATCTATCTATATATATAGATATAGATTACTTATATCTATATATGTAGTAATCTAATATGTAAATAGATTACTTAAATCTACAGATATATATAATCTATATATAGATTACACATGAGAGGTATTGAACAGTGGTTGTTACACTGTACATTGCTGTCTTCAACATAGTTGCTCCTAAATTAGGTTTATAAATATTAATGTCTATGGGAATCCTACCTGTTTCAAAAGTTGACCTTTCAGGTAGTGGATCTGGGCGTAGGGTTATTCTTTCTCCATAGGGTATTTGCTCAACTTTATTAGTAGACATATCTGCTTAAAAGAACAGGGGTAAAATGCTTTAACAGCGAGCTCAAGTTAATTCCTACTGAATCCCAAGTACAAATGTACCCTTAATCCTTACCTCGGCCATGACCATAATCTACAGTCTGTTGTACCGGCGGTGGTTTGGACATGGGTGGCACACCCATAGGCATTGGGCCAGGAGGAGGGATGGAAGGGTGAACGGGTGGCGGTGGTAATACTGGGGCAGGGGGAATTGGTGCACTTTCCGACTTAAATTCAGAATTAAGTCCTTGTTCATCATTTGTATCCCAGAGTCCATAAAAAGAATCTTCGTCCCAGCGTTCCTGTTCCACAGCTGAAGTCTGTGGCTTTATCACAGGAGGTGGCGGCGGTGGGGGCGGCGGCGGCGGGGGAGGTGGTGGTATTGGCACAGGTGGCCTGGCCATAGGGACAGATGATCTTGGTGGTGGAGCAGAGGGTCTTACAAGTGAGCCTGGCGGCTTACCCATGGGTGGGGGTGGTCTGTAGGACCCTGGAGGCTAGAGGATAGAAGCAGTGAGTTAGGAAATGGGCATTTCATCGTGTTGCCACAGATCAGTGGAGAAATTAAAAACTTAATAAACTGGACCATTAAAAACTTACAGCGAGACAGCTCAGCAGGCTAAAGCGCCTGCTTAGGCAAATGCACAGGGACCGTGGTTCAATCCCCAGCATTACATGCTGCGCCAGCCCCACCCCCAGGGTAGGCTGAGCTGGCCACAAAAACAAAACAAAAATTACAATTTTGAACTTTAATAATACAAGGAGAAAAAATGATATGACGAGCCACAGAGGTAGAAAATATAAGTAAATCTCATATCTAAGAAAGAACTTGAATTCAGAACATTTAAAACTCGGAACTTGTAGGGGGCCGGGGAGATAGCTCAGTAGAATAAACACTTGCCTGGCAAGCGCAAGGGCCTGAGTTCAATCCCTGGTACCGCAAAAAAAAAAAAACAAAAACACAACCAACAAAACAACCTCATAACTTGTAAGACATAGAAGCAAAAATGTATGGGGCCAAAGAGAGCTCCGCAGACTCTGCAAATGGCTAACACACATGAAATAATGCTCTACAGCACGTCATTAGAAAAGTGCTGATTAAAACCCAATGAGATAGCAGCATTTCATACCCGCTGGATTACAATGAACAAAATAGAAAAAATGACGGCAAGGGTATAGAGGAAGAAAGCACCTCTTAGACGGCTAGTGACACTCTGGTTCTGCAAAAAAAAAAAAAAAAAACAAAAGATTGCTAGTGAGAATGAAAAATGGTGCACTCTGAAAATGGCCGGCAAGTTCCTTAAAAAGTCAAGTTTACATGTGACCTAATGATTTGACTCCTAGGTATCCAACAAAATAAAGACCTAGCCACCAAAGATTTGCACAGATACTCACAGCAACCTTAACCAATAATCCAAATGTCTATCAACTAGTGAATGGATAAACACAACTGTTATATTCATATAATGGGTATTAGCAGTAAAAAGAAATGAAATACTGGGGCTGGTGAGATGGCTCAGTGGTCTAAAGCACCTACTTGGAACAAGCCTGGCAAAGCACAGGGACCGCGGTTCAGTCCCCCAGCACCACATGCCAGCCAGCCACGCCCCCTGGTGGGCTGAGATGGCCACACACACACACACACACACATTAAAAAAAAAAAAAAGAAATGAAATACTGATTCATGCTAGCACATGGATGAGTCTTGAAGACATTTGCTAAATGAAAGCGAGACATTTACAACCAAATATTGTATGATTCAATATATATAAAATGCTCAAAAAGGCAAAGTTGGGGCCGGGGAGATGGCTCAGTGGAATAAGCGCTTCCCTGGCAAGTACAAAGGCCTGAGTTCAATCCCCGGTTCGCCAAAAAAAAACCCAAAAAAACAGAAGGCAAAGTGTGCCTCAGACAGCGGTTAAGAAAATAATGAAGATATTATACAAACACACACAGCCCACTTCTCCACACATAACCACAGTCTCTTCTCTTTAACCTACTTGGTTTCAAATGCCCCAGGCCCAACCCAAACCTAGGCCTGTGGGTGTGGCCATTGGGTTTTTTTTTTCTTTTTTGTATTTTAGGGAGGGGGTCTACAGGGTGTTCAGGGTCTCACTACTAGATTGGACTCGCAGCAATCTGCCTGTTTACAGCTTCCCAAGAGCTGGGATTATAGGCGTGTGCCACACAGGAGGATTGCTGCACATTTGGGTCCAGCCTGGGCTAAGAGAGTTCAAAGCCAGCCTGAACTGCACATGAAACCTTGTCTCAAAAAGACAAAAAAAAAACAAAAAACAAAAAAACAAACCCTCAAACTGCAGGGTATGTTATTGTCTGTAATGTATTATACCTAAATTATCAATCACTGTGGCAGCATAATATACAACGAATTAGAGGAGAATTAAGTTTACAGGGAGATGGAATTAGTGTTTCTGGTATAATCTAGGCAAGCACTAATTAAGACTAGAGCTGAGGTTGTAGGGAAGTGGACACCGGAGAATACTGCATCTGATCAATATTAAAAAGACAGTAAAATGCCTGCTATGATGCTTTATCCTGTTGTCAACTTGACTGGACTGACAAACACAATGTGCAAAGCACAACACGCTTCAAGGTGTCTGTGAGGTTGTTTCCAGACACCCAGCATGTGGGACGGCAAAAGACGGAGGACAGCTGCCCTGTGCCATGCAGTAGGGCAGAGGCCTGGACAGATCAAAAGCAGCAGACCCATTAACATAGTGTTCCCTGTGTGTGTGTGTGTCTGTCCCTCCTCTTCATCTCTCCCTCCTCCTCCTCCTCCTCTTTGTGGCTGCCACTGGGTTGGCAGCGCTGCCTTACAGTCAGCCTGGAAACGATGAAGCCAGATGACCATGAGACAAAATACATCTTTATTTCTCCTATTTGATTTCTTTCAGGTATTTTGTCACAATGATGAAAAGCGGACTGACATAACTACTGAGAGGCAGCACAAAGCGAACAGGTAGGCTGATTTTCAGACTTGGAGCTACAGTCACCAAGCGATGGGGCAACAAGCCCCGCTGTAATGCCCAGGTTGGTCAGGAGATGCGATCTGGGGAGTTAACAATCATCGTGACAGTCATGGGTGTCAACAACCGTGTATGAATGTTGTACATTAGACCACTGTGAAAGGGGATCTTGAAAAATGAAGCGCTAATTTATGAAATGGTTCAACTGGATTTCTTCCTCCCACATTGTGTTGTTATATAATTATGTGCATGAGCACACTGTTTATTTTTATGTAGGTGGTACAGGGCCTCACTAGGCAGCCTGGACTTGTAGGGGTCCTCCTGTCCTGGCCTCCCCAGTGCTGGGATCACAGGTGTGTGCCGCCATGCCCAGCCTGGCCTGGCATATGGAGCTGGGGACAGAACCCTGGTCCCTGCGCTTTTAGTCCGTCCACTGAGCTATCTTGCTGGCCCTGATAACACTGTAAAAGTCCGTCACTAGCTTAAAGGTAGAACAGCAATAATAACCTCTCAAGCAAACAAAAGAGAAAAACCAATCATTCCATTTCAACACAAACACCTGTTTTGGTTCCTCTGTATGGCACTGGGCTACGCGCAGGGACACATGTGAGCCTTGTCCAGCTGAACGTGCAGTCCACAGGGGGAGACAACACTGAGGCTTACAGCAAGCAGGACTACCGCTACTTGGACACAAGAACTGCTAGAACATGAAGTCACATATTTCAAATGCATTGGGTTTACTTATCAAAACCTGGGAAATGGGGCTGGTGAGATGGCTCAGTGGTCTAAAGCACCTACTTAGAACAAGCTAAGCAAAAGCACAGGGACTGCGGTTCAATCCCCCAGCACCACATGCCAGCCAGCCCGCCCCCTGGTGGGCTGAGCTGGCCACACACACACACACACACACACACACACACAAATAAAATTTAAAAAAAAAAAAAAACCTGGGAAAAAGCATTTCTTACACATTTTGACCATATTTTTAATTGACTAATTTTTTTGTCTTTTTTGAGATAAGAGTTTTGCTATGCAGTTCAGGCTGGCCTTGGATTCAGTTTGTAACCCAGGCTAGCCTTCAATTTATAGGAAGCAGGAATCCTTCTGCTTCAGCCTCCCAAGTGCTGGGATTATAGGTATGTGCCACCACACCCAGCCTGACCATATTTAAAGATGTTCAAAGGTCAAGCCAGGCATCACAGTGCACATTTGTAATCGCAGCACTCAGGAAACGGCCACGAGTTCAAGGCCAGCCTGTGCTAGTCAGTTCAAGGTCAGCTGGAACTATAAAGTAAGGCCTTTCTACAACCTATCTCAACTACCCCACCCCCCAAAAAAGATATTTAATTGTTACTTTTACTTTCCTAAAGTGTACATTTTTATACATAAAGTCCAGCGACATGTAAGCACACAAAGCAGAAACCATCGCATTTTCTGCCTGTACGTTTTCTCGTACCGGATACATCCCAGGTCTTGATATACTCTGCAGTCTTGAGTCCTGGGGTGGGAGATGGTCAGCAATCTGTGGCTCAGACCCAAAGTCTTTCATCTTCTGAAGCTGCTCTTTCTGTTCCCTGTAAACAAACAAAATTGCCACTGTATATAAAGCATGTTTATACCATTCCCAAATAACTATAATTAATATCAAATTTAAAAAGAGAAGGACATAAAAACTTTTTTCTAAAACCCCCAGCAGTGACCAAACTACCTCTGGGATAGTACTTGCTTGCTTTTTTATGTAGGCAATCTCACTAATCATCTAAGATCTATAAATAAAGTATTGACAATTTTTAAGGATACATTCTACAACCTGCCTCAACAGACTAGTCTCATATTTCATCTATTTATCATGTTTTTCTTTCTCCCAACTAAAAGATCATGTGTCATTATTTTCGATACTGTTTAGACCAGACAGATTTAAAAATTGTGACTCATGAACTTTAACCCTAGAAAGTGTTTCTCCATTTGGATTTCACATCAGTTCTAACAATTTAAATTACCTGCCATTTTTTACCCAGCATATAAATTCAGACTTCAGGGCTGGGGGCCGGGCTCAATGTGAGTGCACTTGCCTAGCATTCACAAGGCCCGGGTTTGAACTCAAGCGCTGCAAAGAAAACACCCCACTAGTGCTACATTTTCATATGCCAACAGTCATGTGAGTGAGGTCATGGCTGCCCGTGTTCTACGATGCAGTCACCACAATTCTCCCCACATTCTAGAAAATTCTATCTGGCTCACTTTCACTCATTTTTGTTTCAGGTGGGCATTTTAGCTTATGATCCCTACTGCAGATAGTGAGAAGGTCTGTCAGTTTATTTATTTATTTTTGGCGGAACTGAGGATTGAACTCAGGCCCTTGTGCTTGCCAGGGAAGCGTTTATTCTACTGAGCCATCTCCCCAGCCCACTGAGCCATCTCCCCAGCTCAACAATCTTAAACATACAAAACCTGTGTAACCTCTTTAGATTTTTCACAATTTTCTCCCTGAATTTTGTTCAGTATAATGACCCAGGCACAAAGGCATAGGATGGTTTCTGCACCACACAGACCTAGTGACACTCTTGACTTCACGGGCACAACATGACCTTATATTTAACTATAACCACAATTATCCACCACTTACTAGAATTATGTTTATATTGCCTAGAAAGAGCTTTCAAAAAAAGGATGACAAAGAAATGCCATCTTTTTAACCCAGCATTTCTATATGAGGTAATTATGAATGAAAAAGGAATTTTTAAATGAGAAAGAAATCTTGGCTGCTTAGCAACATGAATCAGATTGGTGTTTCCATAAACACAGATTTTATTTCATTTTTTTATTTTTTTAACGAGCAGAATATATTTATTGAGGGAAAGAAAGCTCCTGTCTGAGAGAGGGACAGGAGGGGGGGCCTGAGCCAGAAGCTGTCTCTTCAGGGACTTTTATAGTGTCAACACAGATTTTAGAGTCCGACAGACTGGATTCAAATTCTGAGTCTGCTACTTATTTGCAAAGTGAACTGAACTGAGTCTTAGTATCATTTGTACAGGGGCTTGCAATAGAAGGATCTGAGACAGCAGGCCTAAGACAATGCACAGTCCTCAGCCGCGGCCATCGTGGGGCAGGTAGGGTCCGAGAGGCGCTTGGCAGCGAGCAGCTCTCCTTCAGGAACACCCTCGCGGACACAGAGCCCCGGGCGCTGCGGCCGGGACTGGAGGGGCTGCTGGGCTGCCCAAGGCATCTGTCTTTCATCCTGACCCACGATTATCTGTCCTCATACTCTTCTTTTCCAGTGCTAAAGTTTAGTTATAAATTCAATTAATATCATTCACAAATGCGACCACAGAAGAAGGGAAAGAGACATGATACATTAGAACTGATCAAAACCTGGCCATTAATTCACTTTTGCAAAACCCTAAGACAGGCTGCAATTTGTTACTGCCTCCAGTTCTTGCCTCGGGGTGTACGGTTGGCCTAAGGATTGAATGAGTCACTGTACACAAAGTACCTCGCACACCTGCTAGGCACAGTCGCACATGCAACGAACTGCGAGCTCCACTACTGTTGCTACTGCCTGGGAAGCATGATGCAGACGCCCACCCACACAGCTGACGATAGGTCAGGAAACCCAAATTCTACGCACCGTCTCACAAAGGAAACGATTCTCTAGACACCACTATTAACTTTAGGTGGAAATACCTGCTTCTAATTAAAATAAAAGCTAAAAAATACCAAACAGAAAGTAGCAACGGACAATCTGAGGACATTTCCAAGTAAACCATTTTGAGCTGCGACAAAGAAAAACATACCACTGTCCGAAGTCATATCGAAGATTAGCGATTATGAAGACTGTCGTATCTAATACCATAACGCAAAACATCTACTAGGAAAACGCAGAGCTTACGCACAAGCGCTGTGAAGGCCAGAGCCCTGAAGAGCTGGGTCTGGCCCTTCAATCATGCACAGGCCAGGCACGCCAGAACCCAGCTGCGCAGAAAGGCCCAGCACAGAGGGCAACCCGCACACCGCCGCCACACACTTACGACCAACAGTCCCTAAACACACACCCCAAGCCCCGAACAGCCCCGAGGGGCCAGAAATGTAAACTGAAAGTTCATGATAAAAAAATAAATAATTCCATTCAAACACATCGTATCACTTAAAAAAAAACAATCTGAAAAGTCACTTCAACTAAAAGAAATGATCTTAAGGAGTGAACTTACCGCAGCATTTTCAGTTCTTGTGCAGCTTTCAAAATGATTTCGTGCTGCCTCTGACTGAGAACCATTACCCCTCCAAGGCCTTGTTCAGAGTCTAAATTGGCATCGGACCCCCCCATTTCGGAGGAATGATGCGAGGAGGACATGTGCTCTGCCATGGGGGAGTGTCTATCCACATCAGATGGGTACCATCTGTCTGACAACCGTTCTCTTTCCCAGTCCAGTCTGTCCGGAACATAATCTCGCTTTTCCCGCCACATATCTCCTCTTTCTGGATACTCTCGAATCCTCAACTCACCCCTATCTCGGAAATCTCGGTCATAACCATGGTCTCGATTTCTTTCTTCTCTCCATCTATCATCCCGGTATCTATCCAAAGGTGGAAGAGGTGGGAGGGGCGGTAAAGGTGGAAGAGATGGAATATCCCGTTCACGAAACTGTGACTCTTGTTCATCCAGTGGTCTCCCATAATCTCTGTCCCATTCATTATCCAAATTTCTATCGTACATATCCATGGGTCTTCCAATCCGATCTACATTCCTGTCTAGGTCCCTGTCCATTTCCCTACTGTAATCCTCATCCATGTCCTGCTCTCTCTCCCAATCATCCCACCAAGGGCCTCGCCTGTCTCCATCATGAGACCGAGACGGCGGTCTACTATAAGGGTCGAGCGAGTCATCCTGATAGTCGCGCTCACACTCCCTCCAGTACCTCTCTCTATCCCAGTCATCAAGTCTTTCTCGCTCCATGGCGGCATTCCTGCCATCCAATGGGAACTCTTCTCGCCCTCTCTCCTCTCCATGGTCCCATGGAGCCCTTGTAGGCTCATCTCGGTGATATGCATACATTTTCTCCCCACCATCTCCCGGCTCTGGTCTGAATGGACCCCTATCACGACTGAAATCCGGTCTGCCCGGTGCCCTTTCCCGGCTGCCAGGCCCTCGAGGTGGCCCCCTTTCCCTGCTCCCGGCTCTTCGGGGGGGGCCCCGCTCCCTACTCCCAGCCCTGCGAGGAAGTCCTCTCTCCTGGCTCCCTGGCCTCCGGGGTGGTCCCCGCTCTCGGCTGCCTGCTCTAACCCTGTCCTGCAGGCCACCTGGCACTTTCTCCCTACTGCTTCCTGGCCTCCCCAACCCTCGGTCCCGGCTGCCTTCTCCTCTGCTCATCTTCTCCCGACTGTCTTCTCTCCTGCCCATCATCTTATCACGAAAGTCTTCTTGCTTGACCAACCCAGGGCCTCGGCTCATTGCCTGGCCTCGACCTCTGCTCATCAGTCCTTTATCCCGTGTGTCTTCCATTCTACTTTGCCCAGGACCTCTGTAGGACGAGCTGCTGCCTCGATTGCCTTCTAATCTATTATCTCTGCTATCTAGCCGAGGCAGCCCTTTCTCTTGGTTTTCTGAATGGGGCAGACCAATACCCAAAGGTTTAAACTCATTATCTGCAGTTAGTGATGATGATGTTGCTACTGCTGTTTCTCCCTCCATGCCCCCCATTTTTGAGGGAAAAGTAGATTGAGTAGGTATAGGTTTATTTGCAAGGGAGACGGGCTGAGTAACAGCTTGGGTTTTGTCCATCTGAGTCTCCATACTTTGAGAATTCTGGTCCCAGTCAGAGGTCTCTAGGAGCTCTTCCGAGACTTCGCTTTCAGGTGGCTCGTGCTGAGAGTCGCTGAGATTCTCACTGGACTGAGCCGCCTTGGCAGCCTTTACATCTGTAGCAATAGGAAACGAAGCGGACTGCATTTTAGAATTCTTCTGCTGGTTACTACTGGTGTCTGCTAATGATTCTCTGTTTCCTGAAAGAGGTTCTGCTTGTGGCTTAGCTTGCTGTGGATGTTGCTGTCCAAAGGTTGGCTTGGGGCCTTTCCACTGTGGTCCACTCTGTCGAGGACTTAGGGATGTACTGGGGGTAATATAAAATTGAGACGCTGGCCCCCGGGGAATCATTCCCCATTTGCTTTTAGTGCCCTCTGCTGGGTGACCTTCGTATCTGGGTCTTGGCCCATCGGGGCGATTTCCTTCAAAACGAGGCCCTTTGGGTCTCGGGCCTTCACACCTTGACCCTAAATCCTCAAATCTTCGAGGACCATCAAATCTACAAGTAAAACAAAAGATATTACTCAAGACAGTAAAGCAGAAAAGAAATTCTCCATGCCTTAGAATCTGTTTATAACAATGACTCTTTCAGTTGTTAACAGATCCCATGTCACCTGGACCCCAGAACCAGTATGCTAAGATGGCAGTGCTCAGAGGGTCATAGGACAGGTTTGAGAAAAGCACGTCAGCATTATCTAATTCACGTCAACACATCTCCTGCAGCAAGTCACTGATACAGTGAATTGTTAAAAAGCAATTATAAATATTCTGCCTTGATAGCCAGAAAAACTATTTTAAACAGAAGAAAATTAACCAATTTTCTGCCTAGGCCTTGTGGCACATGCCTGTATTCCTAGCACTCAGGAGGCTGAGCCAGGACAATAGCTGAGTTCAAGACCAGCTTAGGCTACAAAGTAAACTAAAGGCCAGCCTGAACTGCATAGTGAGATCCTGTCTCAAAAAGACTTAAAAAAAAAAAAAAGTTAACAAATTACATTAACTCTTGAGAGTACTTTTAAAATCGAAAAACTAAGTATGAAACCATTAAGGAAAACTAGGATAATTGTAAATACTGGAGCTAGCACTGATCTTGACTGAGAAAAGTTTAAACAACAATAAAACACCAGTGACTACGTCATAAAACGGGGATCTGACATTTAAAAAAATCCAGGCAAAGATGCTTGTCCTACGGACTCACGTACTCAACGAATAGACACTATGTCTGTCAGGCTCCGCGCCACATCTAAGAGATACATAAATAAAATGTCACCTGTGCCCTCAAATCTAAGAATTAAGTGCCAACAGGTATAATGATTCAGTCTGTACGTGAGCAAAAGGATGACACAGGAGAAGACGGCGAGTTCCACCTTGGCAGAGGAGCACTGTCCACTGAGGGCTTTATACAAGACTCTTCAGGTGGATCTTGAAAAACAAACTCTCGGGGCCGGGGAGATGGCTCAGTAGAATAGGTGCTTGCCTGGCAAGTGCAAGGGCCTGAGTTCAATCCCCGGTTCCATAAAAAAAAAAAAAAAAAAAAAAAGAAAAAAGAAAAACACTCTCTGCAAGTGCTGGCAATGAGGGAGCGTGACAGCAAGGGTGCACCAGCTCAGGAAGGCTCCGAGGAAGGGGAAGGGCATGCCCTGCAGCAGGCTGGAAAGCTCGTACAGCTTGGTGTGGCTAGTGCAAAGGGAAGAACCGTAGGGAGGGCTGAGAAAGGGCAAGGGGTGGAAAGGCGGCACGCTGAGCAATGAGGCCAAGAGGCAGGCCACCACCAGCCACCCCACGCGCTCACGTACCCTGCGTGGTAGACACGACTGACATTCCCCCTCCCTTTCTACAGTAACAAAGCATCCACGTTGTTAGCTAGGTCCTCAGTCGGGACACTCTTTCCAGCCTCTCCCAGCTAGAACTTGTAGCCGATGGGCTAAGAGTACAAACGATTCACATGTCCTTCTGGGTTGTCCCTATGAGGGAAAGGCCACTTTCTTTTTTGTTTGAAACAGGGTCTCTTTATTTAGTTTACATTGTCCCTGAACTCAGTAGGTAGCTTAGGCTGGCCTTGAACTCAAGAGCTTCTCCTGCCTCAGCCTCCTATGTGCTGGGATTACAGGTAGGTTCCACCACACATTCAGCACCATTTCTTTTTTATGCTGGCTGACATAGCAGTGAAGTATCTTGACCATGTAAATAAGGGCCACACACAAAGGAATGGGTGGTAACGTACCAAACAAGAAAGGAAGCTGGTTTCCTGACTTACCATAAAATCCTGAGAGAATAAGCTTATTAAAGCCATCTATCTTTGAATTTGTTACCACAGATGAATCAATTTAGCTGGTTAAGGAGTCTGAAATTACTTTATAAGCACTTAAGAGTCACCAAATATGGTCTACCAACGATTGCTATAGTAGAAAAATAGCAGATGAATAAGGAGAAAGTTTGCAGACTGCTTCTACAATATGGGCAGCTGAGGCGACAGCTATTCTATAGCAGTGATCAACGTGAAGAGATGTCATAGGGCCGGGGAGACGGCTCAGTGAAATAAGCGTTTCCCTGGCAAGCGCAGGGGCCTGAGTTCAATCCCCGGTTCCACAAAAAACCAAAAAAGAGATGTTATAACAAGTAATGTGAAAGATGGCAGAATAAGACATTGTAGCTAGTAGGAATGATATAATCATGGAAAGAAGTATTTATGATTCCAAAGCTTCTGGTTTAGGTGACTGAGGGTACAGCTTGATGCCTTTCATGTTCTTAATGAGAACTACAAAAGGTTTCTTTGTTTGGGAAATCAACCAAGAGTAATAAGTTCAGGTTCAGGAAATTTGTTAGCTAGCCAGGCATGGTGGAACATGCGTGTAATTTCAACTCTCAGGAGAATGAGGCAGGAGGACCACTGTGAGTTCGAGGCAAGCCTGAACTGCACAGCGAGACCTTGTCTCAAACAGACATTAAAAAAAAACACACACACACACCACCAACAACAAAAAAACATTTTAGGCTTTGCTGGTCAAAAAGTCTTAGTCTGAGAGGCAAGAACACTTCCATCAAGGAACATAATAATGATTTTATTAAACTGAAGTTGAATTACGACTTTTACTTCAAAGTTTTAAAACCTCATGCTTTGAGATTCTGAAACTAGGCAAAGAAGGAATTACTTCCTCTATTAGATGGGGTAAATGATCCGATTTTCAAGAGGACACTGAGGGGCTGGAGAGATGGCTCAGTGGTCTAAAGCACCTACTTGGAACAAGGTTGGCAAAGCATCAGGGACCGCGGTTCGATCCCCAACACCACATGCCAGCCAGCCCCGCCCCCTGGTGGGCTGAGCTGGCCACACACACACACACAATAAATAAATGTAAAATATAAATAAATAAACAGCGGAATACATTTAAAAAAAAAAAAAAAAAAAGAGGACACTGGGTCAGACTACTACTAAAGAGGGATACGAGCAAAACATAGGAGGTCTTCCAGGACACCTTTCAGTACTTCCTCCTCTTGTAACTAAAGTCAACAGGAGTTGGGAGCGGTAGTGCACGCCTGCAATCCCAGTACTCAGGAGGCTGAGGCTGGCGTGAACTCGAGGTCAGCCTGAACTGCTATGGAAAACCTGTCTCAAAAAGTAAACGAAACAATGAAGTCAATGGGAAGGACTGCCAACACCCAAGGCCTTTCAAGAACAGAGGTCCGGGTGCCCCCAGCAGGCAAGCGCCCAGACCAGCCGTGGGGCTTGCCTAGAGGAAAGGGTTCTGGAAGTAGCTAACTGTAAACACCAGCTCTGACCGGAGGACCTGCTGTGAGCAGCTGTGACAGTGCGCATGGCGTCCCCACATGTGTATCTGCACATGGCATATGCCCATTTCTCGGTCATTTCTTTTCTTTCTCATCTAACAGAAAGGTGTGAACAGTAAGTAAAATTATTAAGTACTTAAGTTACACAGAATCAGAGAGAAAGTGAGAATTAGACAGAAGACTGAACATTACTCCCAAAGACAAAATAGGGAGTTTTTCTCCTGTTCTGAAGGAAGAATTACAGTGTTTTAGGTCCAGGGCTAAAAGTCTCATGTTGGGGCTGGTGAGATGGCTCAGTGGTCTAAAGCACCTACTTAGAACAAGCTTAGCCAAGCCCAGGGACCGCGGTTCAATCCCCCAGCACCACATGCCAGCCAGCCCCGCCCCCTGGTGGGCTGAGCTGGCCACACACACACACACACACACACACAAATAAATAAATAAATAAAAAAAAAAAAAAAAAAAGTCTCATGTTAGGTACAAAAATTTTTCCTGGGCCTACCATATTAGGAAACATGAGAAAGGGAATTCTGGGAAATGAAGTTCAGCCTTCTGGAAGACACCTCACACGAGTGGTAACTTACGAAAGAACATGACAGCAGGGTGCTGGTAGTAGAGGGCAACAAGGCCGGGGCTGGCTGCCCCACAGGACCCCAGTGATTCTGGTGAAGAGAAATCAAATATGGAGCTAAAAGATATGCAGACTAAATTCATATCCAGAACCATCAACTGCCATTTCCTGAGAACCTATGTCTAGACTCTTGTATTTGAGGGTCTCTTCACAGCAGTGAGCAGCTCCTTACTTTCGCCTCTAACCAAAGCCACGCTGACAGATGACAAACCCAGCACATGTGCCCAGAGCTCCCCATGAGCTTGTCAGTGTCTCCCACTCTGAAACATAAAGAGAGACAGCAGGGATCATCTGATACTGGAGAAATACCTGTAAAACAATAGGAAGAGATAACAGGACACAAATGTGGGAAAAGCAGAGATTAACAGAAAAAACAGAAGAGAATGCATAGAAGCAGAGTTCTGCTCAAAGTGCTACGCTCAGTGAGATTTCTTAATAGACTGCTCCTAGCCTTAAAAGACTCAGATTCTCTAAAAGTGATCCTATGATTCAATTTGTTATTTATATTTAAAAAATCAGGACCAAAATACCCTAATTGTACATTTTGGTTTTGTTTTTTAAAGTTTAAAAAAAAATAGAGTAAGACGATCATGGGGTAAAGTATCTCAGGAAATACAAAATGTGACGGCGTGGTGGTGCACATCTTTAATCCCAGCACCCTGGAAGCTGAGGCAGGAAGACTGGTAAGAGTTTGATGCCAGCCTGGCCTACACACCAATAGTGAGTTTAAGGCCAGTCTAACAATGTACTGAAACCTAGTCTCCAAAGAAAAGAAAAAAAGAGAGAAAAGATGAGACAAAAATAATTCAAGAAACCTAAAATTCTACTAAGTCCCAAAGAGAAAAGACAAGACCAATAATTAATGAAAAATAGCTAAAAGAAATTTCTCAGAGTCAAGAGACTCCCACTTCCAGAAAGACAGGGCTCAGCACACTGACAGTGCTTGGTACAATTAATAAAAACAAATAGTCCGGGGAGATAGCTCAGTGCAATAAGTGCTTGCCTGGCAAGCACAAGGTCCTGAGTTCGATCCCTGGTACCACAAAAAAAAAAAAATAAATAAATAAAAACAAATAAAC